AAGCGAATTTCGGGTTTTCCCAAAATTAAACTCTAGTGATTAACGCCATGTGTACATGTCCAATTAGTGATTATTGTTGGTGAGAATTAGGCCCATTGTGTCACTAGACAGGTAATGGGGTCTAGATGGTTTCCTCTCGTCTGTAAATAATTACTAAGTGACAAATGAGTAACTTGTAACTTATGAGTTGCTTAAATGGAGTAATACCTTCTAGTCAAACTTAAAATTAGCAATATTTGTAGAGTAATGAAGTTAGCTTTGTTTAACTTAAAAAGATAAAGCTCTCTCAGTATACCTACCGCAATATTATAATATGTTGTATGTTATAGACTATAGCATTATTACTTAACTTTATTTTAAAGTAATACAAGCAGTATATTGTGTACATAGCTAGTATTTTATTTTTTAGATACAACAATAATTTATAATATTTTAAATATATATTTTTTTAAAACCGACAACAAGTTGCTTAAAAATATGTGTGAATTAAAATTAATCCACTGAAAGTTGATTATCGTGTACTCTCAGTAAATAAATATGTTTGGTACTTTGGGAGTATTTTAAGCTAATATAATCAAAAATTATGGATATAACTATAAGTGAATTTAAAAGTTTGCGTTCATCATAAGAACAATTTAAGAATCCATCGACATTTCAATAAATAAGTTTTCGAAAAATCAATAAAACTTTGCATCGATGCTGAAATAGTTTTAAACAAAAAAAAAGTCCTTGTTACAATACAAAAAAAATATGTAACAATTTCGAATGACATCTTTATACTTTTCTCTTACACAAACAAATTTGTCTAAACTTTTCGTATTTGTTGTTTACTTAATTTGCCAAATATTACTGTGCATCTACTCTAAGTTTTTATTAATTTAAATATTTGCTTTTTCCCTTCAATTCAGTTTGCAACACAAACAGATAGAACATAATTTCAATTGGTTTTTGTTTTATTTTTTAATAACCTATAAACAACTATTTAACTTATTTAATTAAATGGGGAAAGCAAAAGCATACAAATATTTATTTAATTCAAACTTAATAAGTCAAGTGATAGAAGACACAGTGTCCAGGACACTATAATACATAATGAATTTGGGCTTTTGAAATTCTATATCTAGTCTTTAATAAATATTTTTTGAGTAAAAAGCACTAGAAAGTTTAGCAGCGTGGAAGTTTGTAGAGTAGATAAAAAACATAAAAATAAACTGCATTGTAAGTAAGAGGACACTATCCACTCATTTATTAAGGAGTAGTGTAGAGTCATTTTTTCGAAAAAATCTTTATTTAGAGCGTAAACTATAGTGTACACTCATTTGTGCAGTAATGAGAATTCATTATTGGTTGTTATTTTTTATCATACTTTGACAGTCGTTTCTTTAGACAAATTTACAATTATTTTCCATCAAAATAAATTTGCGCACATCAAAACTAAAGTGTTTTGGAATTGTAAAATCACCAAATTTTCACAGTAAAACATTAGCTGTGTTCAGTTATTTTTAAATTTTCGATTACGCAATCCACTGGTTTTTAATAATTGATTGAAAAATACTAAAAACCTAAACTTTCAGAGAAAAAAAATGTGCACTTTCCTTTGCTCAACATATAGTTAAAAATTGGATCATATCGCAAACAGTGATTATTTTCTCTAAATAAATGTTGCGTTTATACAATTTTCTAAGTACATAAACTAGTATTTTAGCCATTATTGATAGGTTTGAAAAATTACCTTTCATAAAGTCCCATTTCAAATATAACAACTAAATTGCTTATTTAAAAAAACTGCGGTTTTAATTCCGAGTGGTAATATTTAAAGTGATTTATTACACAACAATATAATTGCTGTTTGTGGATGCAAAAGGAAAGCATAACCTTATCTTCTAAGTTAAAAAAAAAAACAATTATCTCAGGTTAACTCATTATGCAAATAGATATTGTATAGATAATAATTACATTTTCTTTTTGTTGGATAAATAATAATTAAAATACTGAAAATTAAAAACTCTGTTTCGCCGTGATAGTTCATTATGCTTAATTGTTACAATTGTTGTTATACTAACGTATTATTTAAACATTAAAATATTGTTATACGATTAAATTATCTATCTTATTTTACATTTTTTATTTTATGGTCGTTAATTTCACTGTATTTCCGACGGGCTTCTTTATATTGAATTTACGCTTTAAATGAAATTATTTTGTAAGAAACTTATTATTTGAGCAATTATTTATTTGTGCAGTCTCTCTCTGCTATAATGGTTTTTCCTCGGGTCGTTTTTGTTTTCGTCTCTTACTGTTCCATTATCGCCACGAAAAATGCCCATCGGGTATTTGTCTATTGTGGAATTCTCAATTAATGGATCCCTCCTCACCCGAGCCCCGTTTAGTCGAATTGTCCGGACTCTGAATCAATATAATATAAATATATATATACATACTCCGGGTCGCCAAAGGCTGCGAAAGTGTATTTGTCTTCGATTATTATGTTTTCTACACAGTCGTTACGCACTCAATACAATGTTTTCGTAATTAAAAACACAATATTTACACAACAATATGTTGCCCGGAGGCTTAAATGTCAATATGTACACAGCCTACTACCCCTTAGGATAAACCTGGCCATTATTTTGTATTTATTTATACGGTTTATTTAATATTTACCAACGATTTCGGCGAAAGACCAACGCCTTTCAATAACGACCGGATTATAAATGACATTTTGAATACGAATTTAGACGTTCAAAAAACGTCGACGAACAGCTGCGTTAAACTAATGAAAAAAGTCATAGGCGGGGGTGACGAGGGGGGGGGGGGCAAGAAAACCAATTCTTTTTAGCATATAAACGAGCAGCGTTCCGGCCAAACGCGCTACGAAAGGCTGGGATATTTACTTTCTTGCGTTCGAGCAATAAAGTTTGAATATAAATTTGTAGGAAAAAAACTCCATAGCCATCGTCGTTTATGTTAATTATATTATTAACTCATATCGAATGGGGAATAACCCGTCTAATAATGATGTACAAAAGCAAGGCGTAATGCGCGATGGAACATTTTCAAAAATTGATAACCATCTTCGTAGTAAAAGCAGATTATATAAATGCGTGTACACCGGCGGGCATGACCGAGCTTTTGAGCTTTTGTCCGCTGTCAGAATAAAACACTGGGCGCGAGATACGGTAATCCTAAAACTAGGGGTAAACTCGTTTGAAAGTTTCATCCAGTGAAGATAAAAACATAACCCCCGAGAACATTATAATAATATGCGATAAGGCAATTGTTGTTTTGATAAAATGAGCTCTAATACAATATTATCAAAGCGTTTGCGCCAAACAAAATAGTTCCGAAAACTTCAAACTACTCGTTTTTATCCTTTCGCGGAGGATTTAATTCAACAACTGTTATTATTCCGTGAGCTTATTTCGTTTGGAATTTATATACCTAAGTACTTTGAAGCTATATTTTATGCCCGTTACACTTTTATCTCGACAACTGCTATTATGTATTCAAACGAGATCAACGTGTTATTACATCGAATGTACATCCAATAAAAAGGAGCTTTTCTTTTCAATGTCCGACTCACGTTGCTTAAACTGAGATTGTGAAGGTATTTTGGTTTTACAATGACGTTTGTTATTTTCATCTCGTGTTAAGCTTTTCGTTGGATCATTTCATTGACAGTGACGAGGATTAACTATACTGAATAGCTCAGGTGTAGGCTCAAAAAAAACGGAATACAAAATGGGAAAAAAAAACCTACCTTCCTTTTCACAATCGCAATAGAAATTACCAGAATAATTATAACGAAACGATTCAGTTTGAAAATCTTTTTAACTCACGCATAATAAACTATCGGATTGCTGGGAATTATTGGCAGGCAAATTTTTTTAGTAGAAATCTTATCAAACTGCATGACGAAATTCGTACCAAGACTTTTGTCCTGTGAGATTTGCATTATAAACTATTAATTATTATGAAAACCATAAAAATGCAATGGTCTGTTTAAGATAAAATACATTAAAGAACTGAATAACATTTACTTGTAGATAATGCAGTGAAAACCTGAATTTTTCATATCGTATTTTATTTGTAAAGTATGCTGTTAACAGTTAAGGAAGTTACCAGTAAATAACATCCAATATGTTTATCTTGAAAATAAGTTTACAAACAACATTAAAAAAAAACGTTATTTTATGTTTTAATTACTGTAATTAATAAATTAGGATAACTTATATTATATAATTTAATAATGGTTCAAATGAAATCTAATAATTAATTCGTTTTTGTTTTGCCAATTGGGGGGAGGGGGATGATGAGTGGACTTAGACACATAATCATCTAACTTTTTGGTATACCCCTGCTGCTTGGGAATCTAGCAAGAGTGTGTTACTTCTTACTTGTTTTTTTACTGTATGATATAATAAGAAATTTTGTGTCACTTTCGCTCTTGTGCTTATAACAGTATACGTCAAGAAAATGTAGCTACGACAAATATGTAAATTATTTAATAACAATAATTGTAAAGTACTTTAATTACACCTCATCCGTTTTTTTTTTTACAGATCATGTCCAGGCGTAACGAGTGTTCTGATCGAGTAATGGTGGCCGTAGAATAATGCTCGGAGGATGGGGCCGAGGTCCTGGGAACGGTGGATCTGCTGCTCCACAACCAGGACGAGCGGGCCATCGGCTGTTGCCATTGCCGTTCAACAGGACTGCCGGTGGTGGCGGACCCGGTGGCAACAACAGCGGAAGCGGCGCACGAGGAGGCGGATTTGGCGGAGGGGAAAGCTATAGTGGAACCGGCGGGGGCTTTAGTGGAAACAGCGGCGCTGGTGTTGGTGCAGGTGGATGCGTAGGTGGAGGTGGATTCAGTGATGGCAGACGAAGAGGCGGTGGAAATCCCAACAGCAGGAGGGGTGGTGGTGGTGGTGGTGGTGGTGGATTCGGCGGTGGAAATGGTGGTGGCGGCGGCGGCGGCGGCAACGTCGGCGCCGGCGGTGGTAGAGGTGGAGGTAATGTTGGCGGCCGAGGCGGTGGTGGCGACCGTAGTGGTGGTTGCGACCGCGGTGGTGGCATGGACCGTAGTGGCGGTTGTGGCCGCGGTGGTGGCAATGACCGCAGTGGCGGATGTGACCGCGGTGGTAGCAACGACCGTAGAGGTGGCGGTGACCGGACAGCAGGGGGAGGGCACGGCAGTAGAGCGGCCGAAGCTGAGGACGTCATGGGCCATTACGGCCGGAACAAGAACAACGTGAACAAGAACAAAGTGCGTACGGGCATATACTATTCGCCCCCGGGCACGTCCTACACGATACTAGAGAAACCGCCTGTGGCCGCTCCTCCCCCGCCACCTCCCAGAGCAACTTACCTTAGGGAATCGTCGGCCGGATCGTCTAGCACATCCAGTCACCCCGGTAACTATAAACAACACCACTATAAAGTCTCGAAGTACCGTTATAAATACCATTTGAAGTTTGTTACAAAGTCCTAATGCTTATTGCCTTGTAATCTATACATTTTATTACTCGTGTTACGAGTACCGAGTTGAGCATCGATAAAAGATACAACATCCGTAGTCTGTACTGATATATCGATATCGAAAGTGGTGTAAGTCACGAAAGTTCAAAGTTCAGAAACAAAAGGTTAAATTAGAAAGGCTGTAGAGAACAGTTTACTAATAAAATTAGCCTTTTTATTGGTCTACTCTACTAAATGGACGTATCTAAAACTCACAATATTGTTTTCACTCTATAAATGGGTACTGTTGGTACCATTTTATGTACTATTCGAATTACTTGCACCATTTTTGCAGTTGACGTTTTTTATGAATTGTTCAAAAATACTTACACCAAGTATGTACTAATATTCATCTCAAATTATATCAATTTTGAGTGAAAAAAGATTGAGAAATTTAAGAAAAAATTACATCATAAGTGTTTTTAAATGATTAATCACAAAATAGGCAAGGTCATAATAATTCATCAGAAGAAACGGAATATAGTTGCGTTTGAGCGGAAGTTGTGCGAATCAAAATGTCTGATTCACACCATTTTTGCACAATCCACTTTCTTCATTCGATTCCCAGTATTTACGTTTTTCTGTCATTTTAGCGGAAAACACACTAAGCTAGGCTTACACCTCTTTCACAGGAAACAGAATGAAGGTAAAATTGTCGTCTGGTGGTGTTGCAAGTACTGTTTGTGTACAAACGTGACTTGAACCATTTTTGCTCTCGACGGCTCATATATATTAATTATTCAGATAACCGATGAATTTAATAGATTGAGACTTATTAGTATTGTACCAATTATACTTTGATACTTTTTATCCATCTCTATATGTGTAGAATGTAGATATCTGTTGAGTATACTCGCTTAATCGGTGTTTTCGAGGGGTCTAGCTACTAGAAAGGCGCTACAAATTTATTAAAATTCACAGAATGCATAGTGGTTTATAATAAAATAACCACTCCCTTTTGTTCGACATGTTGAAACGTTTATAAAAGCTGGAAGATGACAGGCAGGAAGGTTCGTGTTAAAATTTGTAACATAATCGACTATGAGCGTTTGTGTAGTGGTTGAGGAAGAATCACTAAATAATTACTCTTTGAGATGACAGTTTGTAATGACATCAAAGGAAAATTCGAGAGCGGCGAGCCAACACTTAACGCACTAGTTTTTACTTAACAAAATTTAACACTTATAGAAAATTCGATTATTAAAGGGTATTCAATTAGGATCAAACCGAAGAAATTCTGAAAGCTCTTTCAAGCTTTTAGCTGTCTCGAGACAGCTAAAACAAATATGTTAAATCTGTTGTGTTCTTAACGCTAATTGGGAATGTTCGATTAAATTATTCGCCAAATTAACAAAGTTATAGTTACATCATAAACACGGCGTTACATAATAAATTAATTAACGTTCACTGGCGTTGGCTGAGACGTTTTCTATACGAAGTCATTAGGTTTTACTCGTCGTGTATAAAATAATAATTTGCAATCTCAGTTGCTCGTTGATTGAAATAATTCGTGTTGGATTTAAAATGAATAATTCATTTAAAAAGGGATTTGTAATTATCATACAAATGTACCATCCCTCGAGGCAAAAAATAATTTCGTTATTGGCGAGCAACGCGATTCTAAGTGCTGACCCAGATTTTATATTATTTCATACTGGTCCTTGATGCCTATAGTGTGTGGACTTAAGTTTTAATAAAATATAATCACTGTTCGTGTATGTGTTGTTGTCGACGTACGTTCAAACAAACCTTATGAAATTATAAATGCACCCGATAAATAGATTGAAGATGCGATTTCCGTTGTATTGTTTGTGTAGTGTCCCGTGCTAACCTCCCTCGACATTCTTATCGACGGTTCAATACAATTTTATTAGTTGAGTAGTTTTTTTTTTTTTTGTAATACTGTAGAAGACAGGATTTGCCAAGACCTTTTATAAATGAAGCCACGTTATTCTCTCAAATAATATTCTTTCTACTACAATTCGTGATACTTTTTTTTTTTTTTTAGGGGTTGCTTTCGTATATCACGGACAGAAAGCAAATCGTTAAGTTTAAGAACTTTCAATTTGATCCTTTTTATATGCTGTCAGGCGTTCCTCATTTAGCTCCATTACCAGTTATCTTGTCCGTTAATGGTTAAAATTTTCTAACGCTCACAGATTAATTTTCGCCAATGACATGCAAATATTTCGTTAAATAAAATCACCTTCTGATTAAGTCTTTCTACAACAAAATTATTTAAATTCTTTATCAGTTTGATGTAAACACAATAACTGATCGTTAACAATATTTAACGATAAATTAGATAAATGCGAAGTCACGTCTTTTTTCAGATTTTGTACTCTAGTTCTCAGTAAATATCATTTAGATAATATTGTGTTTCAACGTTTGTTTAAAAATCGCGATTTAGGCGTTACATTTGACTCGACTCTCTCTCTTCCAACAAACATTTGAATATTTTAAAAAAGTCATCTTCACTGGAATTTATAAATAGGACCTGTAAAGTTTTACTAATCCCGATGCCTTGAAATCATTGTATTTTTCACTATACTCTGTTCGCCGGCGTAGCAGAAATTAACGTGTTTTAGCTTTTGCGCTGGTTACTCTCTTTTGGAACAGAGTGTATTGCGTTCTACTTTAGAATGTAACTCAACAGTATTGACCATACTGTAGAAAGTCACCATCTACTAATTTTCATATACATACAAAGCCTCGAAGCTTTCCAAAATAAATTTCATCCATTTATATCATACAAATGAGGTAGTACACGTCAACCCCATTTAAAATATAAGCCGTTATTTGATAAATTAAGTATAAGTAGTTTAGCTACCAGGAGTATAAATGATTTGAAGTTCTTATGCGAGTATAAAATTATTATCAATGGCCACACAAACTGTCCTCAAAATTACTAAGTTGTTTTAAACAATGTTACTGGGCCCAGCCCGTTTACATATATATATATATATATATATATATATATATATATATATATATATATATATATATATATATTATGTATAAATAAATAAATATATATATAATGAGTAGTTTGAAACTTGAAATTAGGAATTTTCTCAATATTACGTTTTGGATTTTGCTCTTTATTATTGTGATAGATAATTTCTATACGTCTATATAATTTGTTTTTTATTTCGATTAATTTGTCCACTCGGGATTGGTTCACAGGCACTAGTAGCAGTGGTGGTAACCGTTCTAACAATGCGGGTTCCCGTGGAAATTCCGGGAAAAAGAGACCCATCTCCCCAGAACAAGTACTCAAAATGTTTTCTCCGCCTAACTACAGCATGCCTCAATCGTCGTCATACCATGCGACTAGTAGTGTCAAAGTACAACCGCCACCCCGGTCCAATTCTCACGGGCCCAGCACCTCTTATTCGCACAAAACCCCATCGACGTTCACTCACATCGACAACCTCAGCGTACGCACGATATCCATGTCCAGGCCGAATCCCACGACAGGCGGCAGTCCGTCCAACCAAGGGTTTGGGATATGCGTCAAGGGCGGAGTCGACGAGTCAAGTGAGTAAATCAGCAGCATGTTTTAGAATGAAACTGTATATTATTCCAATAGTTTCCTTATTCTCTAGACTTTTACTCTAGACTCACTGTGTACGTCTGGGGAAAAATTAAAGTGTCTACAACGTTTTCACAACTAAACATAGGTTAAACGATATTTTTCCACGAGTTGAATCAATCATCCACCGACTGTGCTTCTCTTTTAATAGACAGAGAGGATATTTTCAAAAATACATTTTTGAGACAAATATTCAGCGTCGTGTGCTGACAATAAAACGAGAACAGGTTATTTGGAATAAACAATACTTTCAACGTTCCTTATTTCCATATTTACGTAAGCGGAATTTAAAAATTATCTATTAGATCAAAAGCGCAGTAATAAGGCTTTGAAGTTAACTCTGTCCCCATAAAAAATGACTGTCCTTAACATAATACGTAGTCCCTAGGAATTTTTTTATGTGAAAGTATAATATGTAAAACCTCAAAATGCAAGGCCAGTGGTTTTCATTGCCCTAAATTGTATTAAACACTGCTGAGTTTTAATATCCATTGGCGTATGATTGCACTAAAGGCCTAATTGTCCTGACCCATAGTTGGTCTAGCTTATTTGCTTGTATTTGTATCCATCATCTACACGAAGTGCACTTGAATTTAGAAGAGGGTCTAGGGAGGAACCATCGATAAAGATTTTATCAATCACAGTTACACGTTTTACTCCTCTGACCTTATATATATCCTCATTCGGTTTTTATTGTTTCCGTGTCTACACTATTCTAACGGCGATTCGAATCTCTTTGTACAGATGTCGGCGTGTATATATCACGGGTGGAAGAGGGCAGCATAGCCGAAAGCGTAGGATTGAAGCCGGGAGATTCTATATTGGAAGTGAACGGTCGTCCGTTTACCAACATATCGCACGACGAAGCTCTAAAGGTAATCATCGACCACGTATAATATCCACCGCGTCTTTGACGTTCTAAACTTACGTTGTCTTTGAACACTGTCCGCCGCATAGATCCTAAAATCGTACAATCAGATCACCATGACGGTCAAGTGTCCACTGCTTCCCCAAGAGGTAAACAGAAACGAAGGCGAGAGCGGCAACTTGGAAGACCAGTGGCGGATGCGCCGGACGTATTCGTGGCTCAACAGAAAGGGACAACCGGTGTCGCCGCCGCTCGAATACTCCAAGCCTAACTCTCCGTACTCGAAATGGTCGTACACCAGGTCGTCCAAGGACAAAATCCGAAAAGTAAGTACACACCGAGGCCAGGTTAAACCGGATACCATGGTGATACAAAAAAAAAAAACGTGTGTTCCAGGTGGAACTAGTGATAGAACACGGTCAGAGTCTCGGCCTGATGATCAGGGGCGGGTCCGAGTACAACTTGGGCATATTTATCACGGGCATAGACAACGACTCCGTGGCTTCCCGGTCCGGACTTATGGTGAGTAGGCACATATGTAGTGTTGAGCGTCAACTCAATAATTGAATCGTTTCATGCAGAATAAACATTAGTCCATCGAAGCATATTTAGAGGAAATAAAACTTAGATAAGACTTAGATACCTTTTCGCGTAAAAATAAAAAACGAGATTGTGCACTGTGTATAAGGTCATTTTTTGCTTCAATTGCTATACTTCCTAAAATCCAAAAAATTAACATGCTCGCAAATTGACTATATACCTTGATTAATTGTTTATATACCTTCTTGCATGAGACCATTCAAGTATACTAACGAGATAAGATAAATTTCTATCAGGTCGGCGATCAAATCCTGGAAGTGAACGGTCAATCGTTTTTGAACGTGTCCCACGACGAGGCGGTCAATCTGTTGAAATTTCAAAATCACATGACGCTGACCGTGAGAGACGTCGGCAAAGTACCCCACTTGTGTACCACATACAATACCGACACTTGGAACTGTTCATTGGACAAGTAAGTCTAATAACTGCTAGAAAATCTAGATTTGTGTAAAGTAATGTACAGTGGTCCAAACAATATGAGTTGTTTCGAGTCGTGTTTATGTAGAATTAATTGATAGAAGTAAGTGAGGTTAACAACGATATCGAAACAAATTTAATTGTCGTTGAGATAGAGTTGTTAGTTTTAATTTACTCGACACAATCAACCTCCTAAAATCTTGATTATTTCACTGCTGTTCATATACCTACCTTTAGTGGATCAGACATTAAATAATATCGAATATCATGTCAGTTTCTTAAACTTCGAAGCGCGCCTGTGAATGAATTGGTTTTACAAATTATGTGTTTGTTTAGTAATTGGACCCACTTAACTTTTTAATTACCCAATCGATAATTTCATTTAGGTCAGCAATCGTAGCCAAAAGGTAATTTTTAAGATCAAAAAATGTTGTTATTTTATATTTTTGTCATGTAACAAGCTCATCTAATTAACGGAAGACACTTATTTTTTTGGAAAATAATTTTGAAGACATTTCGGTTAATGTTATTTTACAGTATTAAACAATGATATTAAAATTTTGATCTTTTTTGTTAAATTCTAGAGTCTTATCAACTTTTTAAATAAATGATAAACCAACAATTTTGACTGGTCGATGGCCAGTTTTAAGTAATTATTTTTAAAGTTATTATAGTTAAAGCTAAGAACGGAAAGAAGGGTGGGATGTAATATTATTTTTATCTACACACGCTACTTAATCGCACTCTACCTACCACCCTAAATTTTAAACCTTAATAACTTTAAAAGTAATTATCCAATACTGGTTGTCGACCAGTCAAAATGTTGATTAATTTATTTTAAAATTAAAAAGTAAATTAAATACAAACGTAACCGTTTAAGTTTTAAAAGTAAAATATTTTGTCCTGAAAAATACTAAAAATGAAAAAATATTTATTAATCTTATAATACTTTAGAATAGCAAAAAATAAAAGTCAGAGGTACAGCGGCAGATGTTTAGGTGAAAACGCCTTGCTGTCTTTTCTCGAGAAATTATCTAAAGATTAAAAAAAACTACACGTAAACTGAGCCAGTAATTTTTAAGAGAATAAGTGGGTATGACAACATCTTTTGCACGGCCTCCCTCCCCCTTCAGGCGTCTCGTGTAGCGAAATTCAGACAATGCATTTGAGACTTTAAACCGACTTATCGAATGACACTACAACGGCTCGTCTCGATCTCGCCCCGTCGACAGTACGGCGTGTTATAGACTTTTTCGAGTCAGAATTCAAAAAACTCCATAAGTCAAGTGACACGATTACATACAAATTTATTGTCCATAAAAATTATTAATTATATATTTATATTTAATATGCCCGATTTTTATTATCTAGTGTTTCGCATCGAAGCGTTTTTTTTAAACGATTATATTTATATAATTTATAATATAATTACTGTAGGCTTGCGACAAGGTACTGTTTTATTTTTTTGAAAATGTATTATAATATGTCAATGTTCTCTTGCAGTACCGACAACACGTTGAAATTGGGAACTTCGGCAGCTTCTCAGATGGTCGAAGAGAAGGCCCGGGTTTTGCTGTCGAAAAATGAATTCAACACGTTGCGATACTACTTGGACGAATATTCGTGTTCTCGAATGTCCATCGATGCATTTATAACAATACTTTTCGAATTGCTCAATACGACCGATAAGGTAATTGGATTGCTGAGCATATAAATTCCTCTTTATTTTTTTCTTTGGTTGGATTACATAATATGTTATTCGGTTTTTACAGTTTACGCTGTTGACCGAACTGCGAGAACTCATTGGTCATTCGGACAAGGACCGTTTCGATCAGCTGGTGTACAGGAGAGGACGGGAATCGAGGAAACCCCGTTGTAGGGTAAGGGTTTGCTGTCAACGGTCCCGTGTTGTTAATTCAATTTAATATAACTATTTTAAATGTCGGTGGCATGCTTATTGCGTTTGTAGGACGTCGACGACGGGTTCGGCTCAACCATGGCCGGGGCGCAGAGTAAAGGATTCGATGATTATACCTGCGAAGGCGACGACATGATCCGCAGTGCCTCTGCGGATTACCCGACTAAGAGCTACAGGAGCCTTTCCAGGTAAACTGAACGCCGTGGTTATTAAGTCAATTTACAGATAGGGAGAGGTGAAGGCAACAGAAATTAATATAGCCTTTGCTATAATTTGTATAAACTTTAAATAAAACTCATCTCGTAATTAAATCATGGTACTATTATTTTTTTTAATGGGGTTTTTTTCCCAATAATTTGTGTAATCCCGCGAGAGCGATAATAATCCACCGCTGACATTGTATCTACTCTTTTTTCCCCTCGAGAAGCGAACCATCCGGGGAAATAAATACGGCGTTTTGTTTATACCAATCGCTCGTTTAATTTTAAGTTGCAAATTGGTTTTACAACGAATTCTTACTCGAATAGCACGTTTATCCATCAGCAAATGCATGCGGTCAGTACTGTAGTGGTTTAAAATTTGAAAAAAGTTCACTAATTTCCGTTCCGAGTTTAAAGAAAACTTCCTAAAATTTGATGTTTTTCGGACTTGAAAAACTAAACGCTATAAGCAGAGATTGACATTGATGCAAAATCTTGATACATCCATAAAACATAATGCACTTGGGTCATTTTACCGAAAGTGGTACAAACGTGGACAAGGCGAATTTGTGAAGTAATTTTATTCTAAATGTACATTAAAATAAGGCGTTATCTGATAGTAGAAACGTATCATTAGAGTTCAGTTTTTTCATTGCCAAATCAACCAAGAGAATCAAAGTTTCTATGGAAATTCTCACTGCCCTGAAATTTGGTTCATGGGTTTATTGGGTAAATGAAAAACAAAACTCTTATATGATTACTTTTTTTAACTTTTAAGACAAGAAGAAAGAAAAACCATTTCCCTTGCTGGAGCACTACATTATATTATTTCATAAGAAGGATAAAGGGTGAACTAGTAGTAGATTTGCAATTAGGTACAATAGGCAAGTGTTTATGCCTTATGGCCTCTGTAGAGGTCAAGTCACATTATATTGGTAATAATATAGTTAAGAGAGGAGTCGATGTTAACTGCGGTGTAAAAGGGAAAGAGTAGCTACATTTTTCATAAATTGCTTCTGGCCCCAACAAGTCTAAATCAGACTTTATGATGGTTAGGCGTGGGTGAGGTGGGTATCTTTAAATTGTGTTTCTTATTTGTCAGCGAGAGGAAAATGGACGTCGATCGTTCTCCAATGAAAATCAACAGCCGCAACAGAGACATGGAGATCGGAGAGTTCGAGTTTAGCCATCAGGTAAGGCGATCATCGTTTGTTAAAATTTGTATTAGACGCATTGCGTTTCATCGACACTATAAGGTTCGACTTCTTTTGTTTTTTCTTAGGACTACGGTGACCTGGAAACCGAACTACTGCCCAGGAAGTACCACAGCGACATGGCAGACCTCAACTATTCGCACAGGAACTCGTCTCTTTACGATGACACCCACATGACCCGGTCGTCGGTAATGTACCACTTGATATGTTTTATTCGTATACATTTCATTCTTTACCATAACAGATAATCTAGACAAATCGATTCGTACTCTAGATCTACTATACAAACGTCGTGTATAATATATGTGACGTGTAATATTATATTATGTACATTTTTGACATATTATATGTACTGCAAATACACTTGATTGTAAATATGAGCTCTTAATCGCTGTGGCATTGTAGAGCATTTTTTTATCGTTTCCGTCCATCAGGCGTAATGTCAGCCAACTAACTAATTTTCCTGACATCAGATAAGTAGAAGGGTAGCAACATAAAACTTGGGCAATGTTTAACACTTCCAGTGTGTTTTTTAATGCATACAGCTAATAGCTAGCCAATGCGAGCGGCCCAGAAGACAGCTAACCCATTGCTATGCGCTTGCGATTTCAAATTTTTCTTTTTTATACAAAGATGCGGTAACGCTTATGTCTCGGTTTACTCTTAACTGCTACGAGATCGATTTTACGAGACGTTGACGACTATCTCTGTTGGAAATAACCTTAATATAAGCTCGCACGATTCAAAAAAATGGTATAGGTTGACGCAAAACAACATTTTTATAATAGACTTTTGGAACGTGACTTATTTCGTGACTCAATTCTGCTAATAGCACAACATTCCCCTGAAAAGTTGCCATATAGGTCCCTCGCAGGCAGCTAAAAAAAAGTACTGTAAGCAGTTCAGAAGTCTTCGCGAAACAGAGATATTATTTTAAAAAAAAGACTAATGACAAATAAACGACGCAATTCGCCTGAATTCCTTAACCCATTGATACGTTCCTAAGGGTTGTTTTTTGACTCTAAATCATACCATGTAACTTCGAATTGTATTGTAACTTTCACTTAATCATTTTCAAAGTAAGCCGTTTTCTCTATACAGCGTGGAAACCTTTGAGTCGCTAGAGTACACTCGGTCGGATTCTAAGTTCAATCAGTCGTAATTCAATGCCATGACAATCGGCACGAAATATAATAAAATATTTTTTATTTTTTACCTATTTTAATTAAAAAATTCCAAATAAGGGCGATCAAAATTTATAAACACTTTTTACTTAAAAAAATTAAACACAATTTGATTTAACGATGCATTAGGCAAAAAACTTAGACTTAAGTCGACAATAAAGGCTCGGCAAATCTTTGATTCGATTCGTTTCTTCCTATTCTTCTAACCTTCGTGACACAAACTGTATGTTCATACTGTCTCAGGTAGCTATAAAGTCTTAGCCGTTGCTGTTGTCGTTTGGATTCGCATATTACATCGTTCATTGCCTCTGACAATCAGATATGCCGGCGTTCTATGTCCCATAATTGATAATAGTATAAAGTTGTTAGCGCAATTAAGTAATTCGTTTACGATGCAAATTCGATTGTTAGTTTACAACTCAAGAGTTACTAATTCAAGCGACGAAATTAATTATATTATGCAATAAATTCGCCCCGGCGACCTGACGGATGACGATGACTTACAAGTATTGCCTCGCCGCATATATTACTATGTACGTCTAGACGCTTTTGTTGCGATTGTCACCGCTTATTATATGAATATTAGGGTGGTCTTTTTTTTAGGTTTGGGTAAAGAAACACCCCCAAAATTGATTCAAAATGGATAAAAAACGATTCTAGAGTTTCTGATCTAAACTTTGATTTTAACCATGAGGCATAGCACTTTTTCTAATAAAAGTTGGTTATTACACCTTTTTTTTTTTATACACATAAAATAATGGTGTTAACAAAAAAATACTTTTTCAATGATATTTCTTACAGAATCCTCTTGTAATCTGATTGTCACTCAACATTTTGAAAATGCAGACTTTTTAAAAAAACGATATAAAAGGAAAATTACATTTTTTTAAATATTTGATGTCATTTTGTGAGAGGATTTTACAGAAAGTATCGTGTAATAATTTATTTTTTGTTTACACTATTATTTTATCGAAAACCCCAACTTTAACCCTTAATTTCGTGCTTGCACAGTCAGTTGCGGCCCGTGTTAACATCAAAACTGAGATCAGGAACTTTAGGGGTCTTTTTTCATCCATTTTGAACCAAGATGGATACGTTTCTTCATTAAAATTCTACCAATTTCAAAAAAGGACCACTCTAATATAATAATATATACATTACAATAACTATTGTTATGCACGTGCTTATATCGGTTGTAAATAATATAATACTTAATAAAAAAATCAATAAAATTACAAAAACCGCCGACCGACAGACGAATAAAACGCTATGAAAACGTTTCGTCAGTGTAACGATATTCGTGTATGTCATATTATCGTTTAGAGGTATTCGTTGTGCTTCACACACACTCAACAAACAGGAACGATGAAATATTTTGGTAAATATCTTTTGCGTTGATTATTAATTATTCTAACATATATTGTACAGTCGGGATGAAGCCTTTGAACCGTATGCCAACGACATTGTTGTACGGAACACAGGACGTTGCGTAAGGCTACCCATTGAGGTTATTCTAATTGGATTTTGACGGTTTTCCGACAACAGGTAATAATTGACGATTTGACGCCTTATAAGTTAAGCTTGACACATCAGATTTGTGGCTCCACCTTGGGATCTACTCGTCGTCAAAAACCGTTTCCAGAAATGTAACACATTATTATTACGTGGTGTCTCGATGTGTGAGAGAATGCAAGAATACGAAAAGCTAATAGCTTTTGAGAGCATCTGTGCTTATCTACAATTGACAGATAATAATCGGAGTTACCTTCTTGCTCACCACTGACAGTACGAACGCGACAACCTTAATCATTAGCCCCCATTCAAAACGATTACCTACGGCAAAACATTAAATATGTTTAATTGTATGCATTTCCTCTTTTTCTACTCCCCTAAGTAGGTCCGACCAGATCCTTTTTGTCCCCTTCCTTTTCTAAAGCGATTAGGGAGCTTGGAAGCTTCCGAATCTTTAAAACCCTTTTAAGCTTCCACAGCATTTTAATAAAAAAAGTCTTACTCAAGGGCTAAGCAAGTTTTTATGCTGATATATGTTTGTGAGCCTAAAAAAGTTTCGAAATATCCAAGCCAGGGTTCGGCTAGGTATAAACGGTCATAATTGTTTAATGACATCCCGTGTTATCTGAGATTTGAACGAATTTTTTTTTAAATATTAACATATTATCCACTTGTGTAATTGTATAGGGTTGTTTTATATCATCTTAAAACGAGACAAACCCAATGTATAAAATGTTTATATTTTACACTATCACCAAAATAAAGATAAAAGGAACACGTTTTTTTAGGCTTAATCTAAAATATATTTCAGTGGATGTGGCAAAAACGCTAAATACCAAATAGTTTAAAAAGTTAGTTTTTTCGTGTTGTCCAAAATTTGAGAATTTTACTAATATTTTTTTTTAAAATGCTGAGAAAATTTAATATTTGCTTATTGAATATTTCGCTGTAAAGGTTAAACATTACCTATCCGTTGATAAGCGACTACATTTTTTCCACCATAAATATTTATTTTTAAGCTAAAAATCCCCTCTTTCTCCACTTTCAAAAAGTTCTAAAAAAATCAATTACACACACTTTTAAATCTTAAATAGGTATAGCCTGTTTTGCTATAACGTTTGAATGGTGGAAAAAATATAATATATTTTTCCCGCTTCACGGCAAAACATTGAATCATAGCATTACGGATTCACATAACCGTCAAGATTAAATGCCCTACCATGATGATTAAAATGTTATAATTGTCAACATTTAGTTGTAGTTTAACATATTTTGTTAACACGCGATTGAACGAAATCGAGTAATGATCATAATGTTACATAACAAACGTGTACTAATAGATTTCGTGTCGATGACGCGAAAATGTCCACGTTACAAACATGTTTACGTTTAAATCAAATTATAAATGTGTGTGTGTGTAAGTACGGTGGACTGTTGTCTGTTGATTTTACAGGGAATATTTTTTAAAAATGTAGCCAGGCGATGTGGTCTGTCCTTTACACAGAGATTGGTGCCATCGAATGCAAAATTTTCACATTTGCATTTGTACTAATTTTGCCACCTGGTGAAATGTGTACACAGTGCTGAGTACACACCGTCGTCAGTAGTCAATTCGCTTTAATTTCGAATTAACCGTACGTTTAGCATCCCAGTTGTATCGAGTCTGGTGTTGGTTATCAAATTATTGCATATTATGAAACATGGCTCGCGGTAATGGGTTTTTTTCAATCAAACCTTTCTGGGAGATCAATTTTGGTACATTTCACATGTGAGTGGTGCTAAATTATGTACATGCCTTTTACACAGGAGTCGATACGAAAAAGGAACGTCCGTGTGTAAATATTATAAATTATGTAGATCAACAGTCGAGTGTATTATAAGCATAGTCGGGCAAGTGTCATACGCGTTCGTTGTATAATTAAATGTTCTGTACTCGGTCGGCTAAACTTGTAACGATACAACCGAAGTGCACTTGTAAAATCTCATAAAATTTTAAATTAAATTCAACAATTATTTTGTAAATTATCATTGCTAATAAATATATTATGTATAATATACATTATCTAAAAACGCGAAACTAGGCTTTTGAGTTGTTGGTTTTGAGTAGCGATCGATTGGTACTGTAAAGTTGTGTTAAAACTGTACATTAGTATATGTATTATTAATATATCTAGCTTTGTCTGTCTCTGGATTATTATCAATTATTTGTACATAATACCTTTTGGATTTTCATATAGTGAAAATATCACTCATACCATCAAATATGATGTACAATGTACATATTATACAGCTGGTCATTAAGAGCCTAACAATAACAATGTTATGTATGTAGTAAAATATAATTAAAGTTAGGTATATGATAATTTTTAGAGATGTATACTTATAATTCATAACATATAAGTTGTAATTTATTATTGTTAATACGAAGAACAAAAAGTCGAGATATATTGCCAATCAATGTTTTTTTTTTTTTTGTATTAATTCATAAACTCTATTTTAAGCTATACTAATGCTTTCAGAGCGGATACTTGGAGGGACTGCGATCCCACTTAGGGGGATGGACCCAAAAATTGAAATCCTGGTACTATGGAAGTTCTCTAGTAAGTCTCCGTTTAAATGTTTCAGTTCCATTTAGTTGTTGTATGTGAAGCAAGTAGTTAGAGTATTATATAAATAATACACTATCATTTTTTTTAGTATAATATAAAAAAATATATATGTATATTTATTTATAGTAAAAGTATAGAAACCATAACAATATAAATATTAAAGACCGTCTTATTTTTTTTTCCAGACTTGTGTATATTTTCTATACTACTACAAAATATTAAAATATAACTATTATATCTGATATTGTCGCCTCTACAATTTTTTTTTTAGTCATTGTTCTATTTTTCTATTCATACAGTACAATAATATTCATATTATGTTATTATTTTTAATTTTTTTTTTAGAGCTTATAAACAAAACCGTAGTTTTTATGGTTAACCGAATATTATATCGTGTTAATGGATTTTTTTGTGTCACATTCAAGCCGCAATAACATGTATTGTTTTTAGCATGTTTTTGTTTTTGTATTTTGTTTTTTAGTCGACCGCTACTTGAGACCACCATAAATTAAAATATATATTTTAATACGAAAAAATAAAAATCGAATAAATAGTTTTATTATTCTTCTACATACTCTATAAGTGCACTTCATGACACTTATATTAGTGTTATTATTATGATGTTGACATATTGTTTCAACGCCGTCGACACTCTTCAATATGCAACTAACAATCACTCTATCGCCTACTCGTTTTCCCCTTTGAATAATTTATTCTATACACCTTTTACTTTTTCTTTTTGTTTTAAATGTGTACACATAAGTCCACTCGTAACTTTAACAACCTCGACCGACGAACAACTTTTATTTGTTTTACATTTTTTTTAGCACGACCCTAAGCTTATTATTGCAAACGTCCATGCACACTGTCCGTGTACTGACTCGACTTACTTTTTTATCACGTTCTATGTAATAAACGAATGCGGAATGATACATGTTGAAGCATAATAAAAAAAAACAATTTTGAAATTTTAACGTCTCAATCTCTTAAATTAAACGGTACCTAATAATCATAAGTGCCACTGACCTCTGAAATCCGTCATAATCCAATCATCACACACGTTAGCATAGATAATAATATTATACAAATCGTACATTTTAATCGTTTAGAAATAATTTTTTTAAACGACTTTAACCGATCAGAAGTCGAGTCGAAAGTTCGGTCCGGTCGTTACCTAATGCGGTAACTGACAATTTGTACACTGTAAAAGTAAGAGTCTATACATTACCACTAGTAAGTCTTAATTTTTATATTTTTTTCGTCAATTTTAAACAAAACATTGATATTTGTTTATATGTGCGCAGCTTCTGAAGTCTGAACGCTGTTTTATAGATATATTATATTGTGTACTATTTTTACAATAATGTCTTCGACTATCGCTTTGCTTAAAAAACCTGCATACCTAACATACATTTTATTATTTATATACGTTACCTATACTATTACAGGTGTTATATTATATTGAATGAAATCTGGGTGAAGTCGTTTTTGTTGTTTAGTTTCTCCGGTAGTAAGCGTTATCACTTATCATTGTTGTCATTGCTGTTGTTATAGTGATTCGACGTGCTTATGTGTACCGCTGTAACGACTAACGATTACACCTATTAATAATGTTGGTAATTGGTATGTGTTTATGTTCGAGTGTAATAAAAATTCAAGGTTACAACATTAAGGTTTTTTTATGATTTTTTTAGTGGTTTTTTTCATTATTACTGCTATTTTTTTTTGTATTTTATCGTCGAGTCATTTTATCCAGAGAATAGGACGATTGTAAGTTTATTGCCTAATCCTCGATTTGTCGGGCGTTTTATAAAGTGCCATACCTACTGCCGCGCCGCGACCGGCAAAAAGGTTTTTATTTTTATTTTCAATTTCTATTACCCAATAATATAATAACAATATTTTATCAACATAATATAATAACGGTATAGAAAAGTAATATATATTTATATATAAAAATAGGTATAAGCGCTTCCGGATAAAACTGGTCTTTGATATAAACGCATTCTGTGTACTGTGCTGTGCTGTGTATTGTGTGTGCTGTTGTGTAGGTAATCATAATGTTTAATAGTATCGCCTGGTGCTTAATATATATATATAATATATTATAATAACTCAAGTGTTTTTGCGTCGACCACAAAAGCGGTTGTCCAGTGTTTGGCATAATATTAATTATGTACTATTATTAGTATATAAATCAGTTGTATTGATTATGTATTTTGCTTGTGTTTTTTTAAGCAATTATCCGGCAAACAACGATCCTATGACGACGGTAATAACGAACCAATGGACGACGACGATTGTTACCGGCGAAGAGAAAGCGGTTTCAACGTGCCTTCGTGTTCCTCTTCGCACAACGATTCATTAGTAAGGATATTCTACCTATTACTTTTATTTAAACAAACTTATAATACCGCAAAAAAACATGCAATTTATTCATCGTGAAATAATTAACCCAAGAATGAATTACACTTATCATTTTTGTTTTTTTGCGAAGTCGTCATTAAATATATTATAAAAGACAGCTTTTGAAAAAAAATTTGCCGTTGTTTTTAGTGAAAAATTACTATTTTTTCTGAACTCATTCATAAATCATTTATAATATGCTTTTTAATGAAGAAACACTGTAAAAAATATTATTCACTTCTCATACAACAGTAATATTCATATTAATTTCCAAATATTTGTTTTTACTATATAGGTGGATCATATTATAAATATACCATTAGTTATCGTTATAAATGCACTTGTCCCCAGACGAATTTTTCAAGTAATTAATTTTTTAAGGTTAAAGAACGGTAGATACTTGTATTTTTTTAAGCTTAAAATAAAGGAAGATAAAAGTATAAAAGTATTTGTATTTGCTTACGTTAAATAATTTACTATTAATATTGAAGTTAAATGCATAAACTGACGTATAAAATAAAACATTTGATAACTAGAAAAAAAACTATCAAAAAAATATTCTACTAGTATATTTATTTTAATTGTCAGATTTATAGCCTACGTAGATTTTTGAAAAACCTAATCTTGATGAAATCCTTACGGAAACGTTCTTTTTGCTTTTATCATATTCTATTTGAATCCTATTTCATATGACATGTAAGCTTATTAACTTTGGAAAAACCTATTATAGCCTATTTTTACAGAGTAGGTATTTACTTCAGGTTGAAATGGGTAAAAAAGCTATTTTTTTTATACTTTAACATTATACTAATTTATTCAGAATCCTTGAATAAAAAAACTGTCGAGCCAGCTTAAAAGTGTATTACACTAACGTGGTATTTTCATGCTAGTATAAAAGCTCAGGAAAATAAATCCATTTTTTTCATCAAAATGTAATTTTCCAATTTCATATTTTACGTTCAAAGGACTTTCATCAAGAGATAAAGAAAAGACCATTTGAAATCGCCATTTACAGCCTACGGCGTTACTTTGAATGCGTACTCGAGGGAAGACTAAGTATAAGTACTGAAAATAAATCCTTATGGACTTCAGAACTGGCAAAGATTTTTACACCACTCAAATTGGGACATTGCGAATACATTAACTCAAAAACGTCACAGATTAATCTGTGGCGAATATAAAATAAATTACTTCGCACCCAAGTTAAAAATATACCTGATTTCCAAATTACTTATTAGCTAAAAAAATAAAGACATGTGTTAATTTGTAAGCTAATGACGATTTGTATAGAAAACAACTAAATCCTATTAATTGTTTAAAAATATTTTAAAATAATTTAAAGGAAAAGATTAAACGTTTCAAAAATATTATTTTCAAAATGTGTTTGATCTAATTAAAAAAACATAAAACCAGAATAGTAAATAGAATAGTGAAAGCTAATACAGTACAATTGTACTATGTACGATTTTGAAAAAAGATTATTTGATAATTATTTGTGCAACGATATTTTAGAAACGTTTTCATAGAAGTTTAAATATGAAACATGAAAAAATATATAATTATAAAACTTTACATTAAGTATTGAACGCAAAATTGTTTTAGAAAACATTTTGTCTATGATACTCAAAAATATATTTGTTTTGAAAAAAAAAAAAAATTAAATTATAAATAACTTATTTTAAAAAATTTTACTTTTTCCATTTATTCTATACCAAGCCTCAACAATTTTTTTTTTAATTGATATTGAAATACTTTCCGTGAATATTATAAAAATGTTATTATATTGTGACTACCGGTGTTGTCGTTTAGCACAATAAGGTTATTTAAAAATAAATATAATGATATATACAATTTAAAAATAATATTTAACTATAAAACACTTATGCAAATCAAATTCAATAAATATACATGCAATTTGTACTAGGGCTCCAGATGCGGCCTTCCATGTATATTAATATATTTATATATTTAAAATTTTGGCTGCAAGATGATTTAATAATATTTGTATAATATACCTATTTGACAAAGTATCACTTGCGTTTCTTAACAGATTACTTTGGACCAGCAAGGCAATCTCCGGATAACCGTTAAGAAAATCAAACCGCTTCTGGGAATCGCCATCGAAGGTGGTATCAACACCAAACACTTATTGCCTAGAATCATTAACATACACGTGAGTATTTATGGGATAGAATAAACAATTGTATACCGATAGTTACAACTGTGTAATTGTTTTCATTTAGAAAATGTACTAGTTGTACAGGGAGTATAAGGACTTGCTGTTTTGTTAGCAGTGCTAACTTAGCACCATATAAAATTGTAATAATTTTTTAACAACTTTTCATAATAGTTTAAAACATAAAAAGGTTAACATAATATTATCATTTTATTTTAACAGTCACAAAACTGATATGTATCGCTTATAAACAAATGAACTGACATATTATTGATTATTGTTACTATCAATTGAAGATATTAACAAAAAATAAAATGTTATGTGACAAATTGAATATGTCCTATTTTTCTTGCTATTATTTTAACATTAAAATGTAGTTTATCGAAAAAGTAACGATTTTATTTAGGCACTTTGAAACTACATTTTGAAAGAAATCAATTCCCCTTCTACTTTGTCCATTAATCAAATATAAGTAGTGTGCAACATTTACTTTAAGTTTGATATCAACAGGAAAACGGCGCTGCTTACGAAGCTGGAGGATTGGAAGTCGGACAACTTATACTGGAAGTCGACGGACAAAAAGTCGAAGGTAATATACCAATTTTAATTTCATCATAAGTCATAACTGTTGCTATATTAATTACCGTTTATTAACGCTGACAATATTTAGAAGTCAAATTAAAATTCGAGGGAGTGCATAAAATAATGTATAGGTTGTTTAAAATGTGTTCTCTATAATAAAACTTGTGTTTTATTTATTAGTAAACTGAAGATTTGAGAAATAAATTATTCCATATTATCATTCTTTCCCTTACAAATCAATGTGATGCAGTGCACAGGTGTCATAAGTGCAGTAGTAGTTTATAGCATTCTATACATTGTGTGCATTTCCATATCATTCAATGTATGGAATGATTGGCATTCTACAACTCCCAACGTTTTAGTTGAAATATTTGAGAAAAACAAATCATTTATAACATACTAAGAGAATGTATCCCATGTGCAAACGTGTGATGATTTTGAAATCATTTGTAGTAATAAATATTTATTTTTCTTTCTTCTTTTTTCATGTAGCCTTTTCATGGCACCGACCTCCAATAATCACGATCTTGGACCCTTTCCTCTCAATCCGTTTTTTCTAATCTCTCCAGATCTTGGCACATTCCATCCAGCCACCGTTTCTTTGGCCGGTCTCTGGGTCTTCTCCTACTGTTGGTTTGTTTTGAATTGACGCCCTAACTTCATTTGTTTCTTCTCTTCTCATTTTGTGTCCAAACCACGGAATTCTCTGACCCTTCACGTGGCTTGTTAGGTATATAAGGTATTTAGGTTATTTCCACGTTTTTTCTTCTACGACAATTTGTAATGATAATAATAATAATGAAAAATGTCCATTCTCTACTATCCGTCGTGTGCAGGTATGCCTCATCAAGAAGTAGCCAGACTCATCGCTGAATCGTTCGCACAAACTGATAAGTCGGAAATCGAGTTTCTCGTGGTCGAGGCGAAGAAATCGAATTTGGAACCCAAACCGACTGCGCTGATATTTATGGAAAACTAACCAGACTGTGAGTAGTTTATAAGTGTTAACTGTCTTGAAAAAATATCCGTTTTTGGGTACCTACATAGCCCATATTTTTGGATAAACATAAAACAGTCACTGCGGTTTTCGCCAACGCTGTAATTTCAAAAAAAAATAAAAATTATTGGTTTTTTGCCGTCGTTCTCGTTTGAACGTTTCATTATTGTTATTATTTTTTTATTTCGTGGACAAATTTATTTATTTATTTAATATTTTTATTCATTTTGAACTTGCATACCTACATCATTATTTTATATTATTGTATTATTTTACCACTACACCATGTACATTACCATAATAAATTATTATCATCGAACGGTTTGCATTTACTCGAATTTTATTTTTATTCGATTGCGGATTACAAAACTACACTAAAAAAATGTATTAATATGATAATATTTTTCATGTATTTTTGACCTAATGTATGTTAAGTGGCACCAGCTAGAGCCCCGATATTGTTAAACTCTAGTATTTACCACAATTTATATTATTAATTAATATTAGGTACTAAAAAATTGTTATAATTATGTACAATAACGGATAGAACGCTACATTATATATTACATATAGTACCTATTTAGTATAATAGATTTAATTTAGGTTAATTGACTCTGTATTATAATATATTATATAAATTAGAAGTCCAGAATTTGTATCCCTTAGTTACATAATATGATATATCACAATAAAGGCCGGAGACGGGACTGATGAACTATGTAAGGAGGAAGGACGTTAATTGTCACTTGACCACTTGCTTGATCTGTTTTTTAATCTATTTGAGTTAAGTTCATAAATTTGACCAATCAAACGCCTTCCCTTTGTGACATGATAATTTATTTATATTTTATCGAATCAATATTGATTCTGATATGTGCTAGGCTTCATTAGTGGGAAACATTTTAATATTATGTTGATTGCTCCGAGTTGGTTTTCGGGTAACTTTTAAAGAATCTAAGTAACTAGCAAATAGAGCGCTTAAACACAATATATATACAAACAGTCAGCACACAATAATTAGTACAACACGTTGAGCAAAACAAATCAACTATTTTTGTTTTTACTTTAAACGATTAAGTTTGTCGGGTTATACGCACGTTCGCTTAAAGTTCCTTTAAAACTAAGTGTAGTTCATCATTTATGGCCGTTTGTACTCAAGTAAAGTTTAGCCTTGTCTTGAGTAATTTTTGTTTACGTACCAAACAACTGTTTGTAAATGATAAAATAATTGTTTGAAACGGTACAATATTATATTTAATTATAATTTACAATTTGACTGTCCCGAAAATAGATGTTATAAAAATAATCTTACATTAAAAGCATAAATGTTAAAAAAAAGCGTTTTACGGGTGAAATATTTTTGAACTGCATTAACTTTTATGTTGTATTTTAGGATTCATAAGTGCAACTTTTCATTTTGTTCACTAACACCAATAACAATTCAAACTATTTTTTAATTACCACCACTTCAACTATTAATCTTAGCATCAATTGTAATTAGATATTTTTTTTTATTGAAAGACCGTTTCAACATTTATTAATTTAATAGATTATTTCGAAAATAATGAAAATATTTTTAAATACATTTTTAATCATTTATTTAAATTCGTTCATAACATTTTTTTAGTTATTCTTCATGTTTTTGTTTCAATCGATTTTTAGTTTAAATAATCATGTTGTTAATTTGTATTTAAATTATTAATGCAATTCGGGTTTATAAATGGTGTCTCGGGTCTAGTCAAACTTATTTTTTCTTAGAATTGTTAAACTACCCTTAGATTTTATGGATAATCAGTGCAAACGGCTGTGCTTGCTTGATCATTTAAATTTTAACAAACTTAATTTAATTTAATAATTTTTTTTGTTATCGGGCAATATACTTTATTTGGTATTTTAACGTTCGGCCACCAAAACAAATATTTTAAATTACATTATAAGACATTTGACTGATGATTATTTTATTTTATTTCGGTGCAATGTGTTTATCTTATATAAATATGTATAATGTATAAACGTAATTATATTATATATTTAACATAAATTACATACCATTCAACACGTACACCGTCCACGTTTTGTACACTACATTTCTCTCACTTTTTATCTCTTTCTGTGTCTTACTTTTTCACACACACAACTGTTTATTGCACACAATCACCTCACACTTAATAGACAGATTCCGAATTTTCATTTTTAACTACAAATATTAACAACGTCAATGGATCAATGATATCAGATCTATGACAGTAAAAAATTGTCTTTTTTGTCAGTTATAGATTAAGACGTTAATTTTAGTTATAGCTATTCACATTTTACACTCGCCAAATCGGATTAAAACGATTTTGGTAGGAAAATGTTAAACCTATTCATCTCCGGTTATGCCTATATTATTTAAGTTTCTTACTGCCTTATGCACTTGTACATTCCTATGACTATTTACTTAATAGTACAGTAGCCAACGGCGAATTCGCAAGACTGTTATTAAAAAAAAAAAAGGATAATAAGTTGTACGTGTTCCACGTACAATATTATTAATGTATATTATTGTTTTACCGTTAATGTAAATGTACAAAAACCTGGATATGAGTACAATTATTAAGGGTTAAATAAATGAATATAATGTTACCCATACAAACACACAACTGACGATACCTAATCTATACATATGTAAGATAATTAGGAATGGTTATTATTTAATACCGGTTCATTATATTGAATAGGTTGGGCATAAGTCGAATAATTCCTTTAATATTATCTAATATAGTGATAAATAAAATATAAGCTATTATTTCATAATTGATTATTCTATTATTCATCACAAATGTATTCGGTATTTGTTTCGTTCTTTTCATTTATAATTTATTAAAATACAAATGTCTTATTATCTAAGATAATAGTTTACATATAAATAATAAAATATATTTTACCCTTAAAGGTTTGCTAAGTTATTCGATGGATAAAAAGCCATCTATTATTTAAGAACAAATACCTTATTCGTCGAATTAAACGTCATTATTTATTATATTATTTCAATTTTGCCCAAATCCACTTAAGTTGTACTTTGACATGCAGTAGGTACCTTGTGTTTTTTTGTATTAGTGAACGTTATTTTTTATTTCAATCGCGGATTTGAAAATCGGACGCAAAATGTATTTTTTCCTAAATAAAAGCCATTAAATTTATTATTTTGAATTTTTATGTCCATTTTTCCTAGCGAATCGATTAAATATTTAAGGGTTCAAAATGGTTTTTTTTCCTTTCAGGTCATTTTTAAAAACATCATTTACATATTTTGTTAGGTTATAAATGCACAAGTGGAAAAATAACTTCGCCTGCTTACTTAATTATTGATTATCTATTTTAACATTATTGGACATTAGTAAGTTGGTTTCGAATTTAATAGTAGGCGATTATTTTGGAGTATATAATGATAAATATGAATGTGATCGATTGTAGTTTTAGTAAAATTTGATGCTTCTTGATGGATCGAGAAAACACCAAATTTTAGAAAACGTTTTGTAAGTTAAAATTAATTCAGTTGACACTGGAGTGTACTACAGATTTATTCGAAGTACATAGGTATGGTAAAGTTAAGTTAGATTAGGTTAGGTTAATTTAGTTTATAAGTTTTGGGACGCATGTGGACTATTTTCCACTATATATCTGTATTAGTATTAAACAATTTAATTGTAAAGAATACCACAAAATAATTATTTTAATTCGTTTTTAATAACCGATTTCAAACATTTTGTTTTAAACCTTTTCTGTATTTGACATTAAGTTAATGAATTTAACTTTCAATGTTTTCACATCTTTCAAATTCAACCGTAGTTAATTAGGTTCACCTTAGTCATCCCCCCCATTATTGTTTATACTTATTTTATACCGGTTTTTGTCCTACCTACAATTCTCAACTTTTTTCGATTATTAAGTTATTTTACATTTTAATTTTTTTATAAATAATTTGCCCTATAACAACCACTGTGGGAAAATGTTGTGTTCCATATAACCATGGAACTGGGGAAAAAATCAACCTTGAAGAAATTTAGAGGTTTTTTTTTAGACAAAATAATGGGTGATGGGTCTTATTAGGTTTATTAATTCTTTTTTTACCCGACTTAACTGGGTCGGGATAAAAAAAACTCTAGTTTTTGACAACTCTCTGACTGAAACCAGTCTTTGTTCTGTACAGAACATATTTAATTCATCTCATATTATAATATTGTTCTACGCTTTGACTGGGTGACAACCAGTACACCATAATCTGCTTAACATTTTCTAAACGTTTAAATCACATATACGCTCGTTTTTATTGTACACTCAAATATTTCCATTTTTTAAAAATAATCTTGTCCAAAAAAGTTGTTAAATTATGTAGGCCGTCTTGGGGTAAAAAATTCCTTTCTAGCTGAATTGAATTACATTACATTGACGGTAAAACATACAATATACATCATTTTGATGGGCGTTCCTAACCGGTCAAGTCCAGATTTTGTTTTCTGAATCCAAAACAGCTCGTTTTGACTAAAATTGGACTCGACAGATAGAGTTGGACAAAATGTGATTAAGTAACGAAAAACAAGTGAAACAAATCGAACAACGTATAATTGAACTACAAAATATGTAATATTTGTATTCGAATAAATCACAAATCAAATAATTCGAATACGTTTGTGTTAAACTATTTATTCAAATAATACTCATTCGAAAGTCCAATTCTATTAACCGGTTGAGGGACTGTCAATCGAAGATATAATAATAAATACCTATTATAGTTGTATACATATGTATAGTTAATAATATATTATTATATTAGAGTTGACCAATACATGTACGATCCTCTAGAAGTATTATTGACTGGAGAACAAAGGCTTTACCTCGTACGCCTTATTAATTAAATCATTATTATTATAATCTTTTATTTTAATTTTCATAGACAATTTTCGTGTATAACACAATAATACATCAATATTATGTACATTAGTCAGCATTGGAATCGCGTACAGCTATTATTATTATTACTATTATTATTATAAATGTATAACATTACCAGTTGCTGAAAATATTATATTATAGACCATAATAATATATGAATTGCATTGAAAAGAGAAGTTATTGCCGGGGTGAAAAGGCGGAGAGTCGTTGGTTTTTTGCTTAAAATAATTCAAAGTCGAGAAATTGTTGGAAATCACTAATAAACATTGAGTGCTTGCTAAAAGGTTTATACAATATTATAAATGTATAAAACGTACCTGGTTACTTCTACTTAAGTAAAATATAATATAATCATTATAGATTGCATATCTAGTTCAAAGCGATATTTCTGTCTTGAATAATATATTGTTGTATTTACATATTTTAAATTAAAAAAAAACCTTTTGTTTGCGCGCGTGTCATTGCTTTAATACTAATTAATTAAATTATATAATTATTATAACTACATTTTTTTGAGAAAAAAAACTAGACTTTTCTCCTTTTCTCCTCGTGCACTATAATATTTACGCCTATACTACTACATATATAGTAATGCACACAAACATAATAATAATAATATTTTAAGTATTATTATATTTGTACAAAATTATTTTGTAACTATATCATTGTTGTTTGTTGAACTTATTATTAAAACATAATTATATTATTATTATTATTATTATTATTATTATTATTACTACTATTATTATTATAATGTTACAAAAAAAAACTTTTATTTTGATTAATGTTATATGATACAATATGGCTAATAAACGAACAATTATTATAAAATAAAAAAATTCTGACAGTGTATTTTCCAAATTTTAGCACATGTACTATTACGGTGTACCTAAAACTGAATGTGGTACTTGTATTAAGTCTGAACGAGACGAACACCATAAAATATAAATAACTGTGTAATATAAAAATAAACGTTTATCATTTGGCTTTATCAATTTTTGAAACTTAAATGGCAACATACATCATAAATGTTATCATTTTTTTGCACGGAGAATAATTCGCTGAATATGTTGACTGGTCAATAAGCAGTTTTGGATAAATCGTTTTAAAGTTATTAAAGTTTACATTTTTAACTGTAAAAATGTTTTCAAAAAGAAGCTCTAAAAAATTATAAATATTTTAAAAGTAAACTTGTGTAGGGCGTTAAAAGAATCAACCGGTATAAAACAACGTAATTGAAATTTAAAATTGTTGATTATTTTATTTCAAAATGCATCGTTTTATTTTATATTTGCTTCATTATTAAAAATTACTACTAGGGAGTATGACGGAGTACACACAGAGGATCCTAACAATCTGTACTAAAACATTATTTTATCATAAATTGTTGTCATCCTATTATTGGAATAAGGTTGCAAACAAAAATATTTTGAATCAATTCTTAAAAACCATTTTTGTAATACATCTATGTATATACACGATATGCAAGTCACAAAAAATGTCATAAAACCAGAACCATTAACTGGTTGTGATCGACGAAGTGCGTATTTTTTTATAAATCGAATTTAAAATTAAAAGTAAGTACACATTTATTGTATTCAATTTTACATTATGAATTTTAAGTTTTTTTTTAATATATATAGCAAGATGATAAGTAGTTACTAGTGTGTTAAATATTTTTCCAAAATCACTTGAAATATATATATATATATATATATATATAAGTAGTATGTACTCGTTTTTAAACACATTTAAGTTGTATACATTTATAATTTATCTGCTTTTTCTAATATTTTATCCGTTTTTTTCTCGCTTCTTTTTTTAGTTTCTTTTTAAATTTTCTTTTTTTTTGACCGCTTCTCTTGTTTAATTTTGTGAAACACTAGCATGGGATAAGTATGCAACTAGAAGAGCAAGTAAGTTTTACCTTAAAAGGAGTGGAGGAAAACTCACCTATGTGTACATTTTAATGTACCTATCGATGTTACTATTATTTTTGTTGTTGTCAAAAATATAAAACAATTATTCTGAAAGTGGTTCCCTTGAATACATTTTAGAAAAAAAAATGTGTTGTTTTTTCTAATAAAATAAATCGGGTTCTGGAAGGCATAATACATCACGTAAAAAACAATTTTACAGCACATATTTAAAAGTACAAGAATAATTTTTACAGGAATTTTTACTGAAAAGTTTATAAAAATTAATACTTTAAATACAATAGAACTTCTTAGTATTCATAGAGTTCCTCTATATAAATAAAAATACTATTTTTAAAATGTTAATATAATAGTTTTTAAGTGCTAGAAAATTAATGTTCTAAAAACTTTTTTGTTTTAAATAAAAGATAACTAATTTTTAAATGCAATCCTACAATGCATTTAAACATTTTATAACACAAGGATAGAACTTGAATAATTAGTTCATTTTTTTTTTAGGTTTAACGTGGTTCGAGTAAATGATTTTTCTTAAATGCTATTGACCCCTTTTACCTAGTTTAAACTAGCTCAGATATATAGATTTTATAGATACTTGAACTATTCAGTTCTGCCACATGTGTTAATATTAGAAGTATAGTAAATGTCAAGTTAATGTACCTTAAGTAATATTGAGAGCAAACATTGCGTGCAATATTTTGATGTTTTTATAGTTTTTTTTTCATCATATTATACCAATTATATACTTTCTAATTTGATGTTAGGTGCATATTATTGCTTCTATTTGGTGAAAGTAAACTAAAACCATAGTTGTTATTACTATATAACTGTATATACTTATAAATGATTTTGTTTGACCGACAGTCATTATATTTTGAACGCTGATGAGCGCAGTGACAAATCCAGGGAACAATTTTTAGGTAACTCTAACCAAATTTTAATAATCAGTGCATTGATTTCAGAAATGTATTACTATGGGCTTCTTTTAGTAGGTAGTGAGAATTAATATAATGGTAGTTTATATAAAATATTTACTTTTTAATATGTTTGAAACATCATACATCAACTTATGACTTTAGGACTTCAAGGCTGCATTGTAGTAGTTAAACGAGATATCATAATTTTAGCATTCCTCTAATGAAGTAGATAATACAGTATCTAGCAATTAAACAAGAAAATGTGATCTGGCTGAGTTGTAACTTTGTGTTAAAAATTATATCTGTTATTAAGAACAAATAATTTGTCTGTTTTTTGTTTAACACGTCTATACTATAAATCTACAATATGTACATTGGTACAGAATTAGAGAGTTTTGAACTTGTTTCCATTTAGATTTTCGACTTAAAAATATTAAATAATTTGAATTAGATATCTTTAGGTAAATTGTTGTTATGTGAGGTTAATAATTAAATATAATCTTTGATCTAAGGAATTGGTACAACTAGAGGAGGGTTTGGTAAGTTTAAACCCTTTACAAAACTCGTACAGTTCTTTCAAAATGTCTAAAAGTAAACCATTCCTTATGGATTGCTGATATTTTTTGAGAGCCTAAAGCAGTAGATAGGGATTTGAACTTTCCCTAACCTAGGTTAAGTATTACACACATTTTTTATAAGTAAATTGGTAATAAAAAATTCAATTCAATTTTAAAAACATGCAATATTCGCCTTAGCCTACATAAAAATAATTGTGTTTAGCTTCAAAATAAATATATTTTTTTTAAATCCGTTTGGTAAAAATTTGAAATTGCCTTACGTTTTCGAGTTTAGCCTTTATTTGAATGAAACGATTCTCTTTTTTTTCTCTTAACCAAAGCCAGTCCAAATGCAACTTCAACCGAGTGAATTGTGGTCAAACTTAAGTCATTCAAATAAGTTTCATTTTTTTTTTCTTATTCAAAACTGTTCTTAACTCATATCATTTTGTAGTTACCTTCTGATAAATACCGTCCATGTGGTCAACGATAGTAAAACCTCGGTACTGAATTCGCTTACCATTTCGTACCTAACTGGCGTTAAACACTTGAAAGTAAGACTTAGTGGAGGCCCAAAAGTGTTAATAGGTTTTAACGACTATAAATGGTAGTTTTAAGTTTAATAAATGTAAAACGAACAATGCAATATCTATTATAGAGTACTTACGATAACCGTCGCCATAAAACGTGTTTATATTCTCAATAATTAATATGTACAAAAAAAATACACAAACAGTGAATAATTATTGGCACTGAGTGCAATTATTATGACAGTCTTCAGAGAATAATCAAATGTCTATTATTATTATTTAGACTAAAGTTACAGAACTGTCTAGTCAAGTACAGATTAGGTCGTTTAATAAATTAAATAATAAACTTATTTTCAATTTATTGTTTTCTTAATCAACCGATACTCCGCGTATAGCAATAAATCTCAAAATCATTAAACCTAGAACAACACAAAGAACAGCTCGGACTTATATGTTTTAAAGGACGTTTTTCTATTAAAATCATAATATGTATTTTATTTTACCACCATCCGTTGTCGGTAAGTATCCGGGCCGTAAATGTATCAACTAATAAAACCCATTGATTAATTTTCCAAGTGTTGTGCACCGCTTAAACGACCATCTTTTATTGTTACTTAGGTTTTATAAATGTTTAAAAATAAATCAAAACCCTATAAACCAGTGCAATGTCAAAGTTGGATATGAATGATTTGTATAAATTTCAAGTTTTTATGTAAAATTTTCTTGCAAAAAAAATAGTTGGACAAGCATAACGATTGTAATCGTGCAAATTTATATCCGTAAAATCATAATGAAACAATTAATTCCTCTTGGTAAAATAAACAAGTAAAAAAATATTTACCTTTGTCGTAGTGGTAATTTATTAATAGAGCATTATAGTAGAACAAAAATACCAGGAAAACAATTACTGCAGTTCAGAAGTTCTTGACGCAACGTTTGAAACGTAAATGACAACCGCGTTACTTGAAAGCTTGTAACGTTACATTGCACAAGTAAACGCAGCTCAAGCCTATATCACCCACCACCCTAAAATATAAAAATAATTTAACATTTTTATTTTCTTTACTAAGACTCTAAAATCATTTGAATTTTTAAAAAATATTTTTTTCTATTCCAGAAGTGATTTATTTATTATATTTTATAATTAAAGAGTATCTAAATTATTATGAAAATAACTCGTTAAATAAAAAGTCGGTTAAGTGATTTTTTAATTTTTGTTTTATTGAAAGTACATTTTTGGTTTTTTTAATTATAATGTATACATGACAATAGACATTTTTGAATCGTGCGATCTTAAATACTTAACTTCCACTTCTTAATTACCAACTTCTTTTCAGATTCTCTATTAATTCATAAATTCTCCTGTTCTTCTCCTCTTTTCTGCTTATTTTTAAACAATTTTTCTTCAATGCCACCTCCCATTGCTCTAATTTTACTCCTAACGTTTAATCTGTTCTTTTGTCAAAATGCCCAATGTCTATTTATTAATCGATTCATAAATGTTATCTATATATTTGGAATGGATAATTTGGTTTTTAGGATTTTCTGTCCAAGTTAAATGATAAACCACAAAATTCACGAACCTCGTTTATGTGTCATGATTTACATTAATACTTACATACATATTTTATTTATATTTTCCAATTATAAGAAGTTCTGGTGAATCGATCTGATTTTTTTTGTTCATTAAAATTTGGATTTCCGTAGCTAACCACTTAAATATAAATTACTTTATTCAACTTACCATACAATATGCAAGTATTTATTATTATTTTAAAAACAAGTTATAAGTGTGATATGGTATTATTTTTATTATTTTAGCAGCTGTATAAACGATTTGAAGCTATTACTACTCCATCGGCAAATAAGTCTTCGTGCTGAAGTTAGGTTGAGTTTTAGGTTATGGTTTGGGTTGTGTTAAATTTAATGCACACACTACTAACTCTACTAACAGTATAGAAGTCTGTGGTTTAATGTCTCCCCTACTAATTAGCAAGCATTTAAAAGCGAAATTTTATCATTAGAATAAATATTATACTCTTTATTTTATAAATAGAAAAAAATTTCGATTTTAAATTTGTAAAATTAAACAAATTTATTGTCAAACAAAAAATATCTAAAAAAATTTATCAAAAGTATTTAAAATGATTTTAAGAGCTTAGGCTAGTTATTACTATTAGTTAATACTATTTATACCTGACTGCAAAGTCCGGTAATCCACCAATTTTCTCAAGTGTGTTCTTTACATGGTTTTTTTGTTGACTGTATAGATATGATTTGTATGACGAGTCCGCTTAGTACAGATACCGGATGTGCCCTCAACTCATCCCATTTGTGTATCCATTTATGAGGTCGTGTATGTTTTCGACACGTAGTCACAAATGTGTTAATAAATTTAAATAAAACCGATATAGTATACTCTGTAAAAACCAAACACGTCAGTGGCGACATAAGCTATGTGTTTATTCGTTATGAACAACGTATCAATATGCGGACCATCGTTTAGCCGACTGCAATAAACATATTTGTCGATGTCTTTAAAAAGCAATTTCTTTTTAATGTACTGTTTTATGTAAAACATTTTTTAAGCGATTTCTGCATTATTTTTTGTTAATTTAATGGTGCGCGTAGTCTCACAAAAAAAAACCTATATACAGGGTACTTAGAATTTTATGGTCCGCCTGATTTATTAATAATAATATACTCTAATAATTAGTTTATCAAATTAGGAATAATTTACTGAACATTTTGACTGGTCGATAACCAGTTTTGAGTAATTACTTTTTAGGTTTTGGAGTTTAAAATTTAACGTCAAATGTTATGCACCTATAAAAAAATTATAATTTATTTATTTTAAAAATTTATTGCCTAAATCAGAAATCTGAATGTTCAAGCTATTAAAAAGTCAAAACTGAATGACAAAAACGATAGTATATTATATACTTTGGTCGTTGTCGATAAATCATTTGATCAAATGATTCGGTTTATTCGAATTTTATCGGTGTTTTTTCGTTTAATATTGTTTTTTACAATAATTGTAGACGTCTTATATTTTGCTATTAATGTGTTTTCTAAATCCGAATCGCTAAAGTCCAACCCTTCCTTTAGAGTCTGTGTAAAATACACCTTGGAGCAGTTTGAGGGGAGAGGGCTAAACGGTAATTTGAGAAGCTTTGCCCAGAACAATCGGAATTCTAGGTTTTTATAAAACCGTTTCTTCTAAAAGTTGTTCAGCCGCTCTTCTCATTTTGTAGATGACAAAAATGTCTAATTATCGTTTCCAAAAATTCTGAGCGCGAATGAATAATTTGTATTATTTTGGCCATTATGTAGGCCTTTTTTTTATCATTCATCCACAATGGACGTGTAGGTCGGATAATGGAATTCGCGTCGCGTTTGGAATATTATTATTATTCGAAATACCTAGGTATAAAGAATTATTATTATTGTTGTCGACATACTTTATACAATTCGGCTGCGACCTTGATTGTTTTCTCGGGTTTTCTACGTGCATTAATTACATAAACACCGCCGCAAAATATGTATGTATGTACTATGTTCTCTCCCATCGACATAATATTATAACGAGCTACGCATATACACACACGAATCGACAACAGCTAACCACAGCTGTATATTATTATTATTGCAGGTATTATTTTTAAGTGTTATTTTTACCTCCATGTTGGCCGCCGCCATAGAGATAATCTCTCGGACCGCTTGCGTCAGCGGTGACCGGCAAAAAAAAAATTAATAATAATTATTATTACCTACCTACCTACCTATTACGGTTCAGTCGAGATTGTGTTGCTGCAGCTGTGCGGTGAGCGGCGACCGTTCTCTTCTGGTAGCAAAATACTGTTATCAGTGTTTACAACCGCAAACTGCAGCAACGTTGTTGCTATTAGATAACGCAATAGTGTATTATCGAATTATATTAAGCCACTACTAAAAAAATTATAACTGTTCATTTAATATCTTTGTTCTGTGCGTGAAATGTTAAAGCGACCTGTATAATTTTAATAAAAGAATCCTTTTTTGTTTAATAATTTTTACGTTTTTTTTTTTTATTCGTCTGCCATTTACCCGCAACGGCCGACGGAAACAATAATATTAGTTCTGCCGAAAATCGATTGCCAGTAAGTGTCGCTCGATAATATAATAATAATCATGTCAACCGAACAAACTGTCACGTTCGTTTTGAATAATTCACAGACAGCCGTGTGTGAGTAGTGTATGTATACCCACACTAGTCTACCCATACATATGCATTGGCTGATCGTAACTACAATCATAAATTAACATAATATAATTATAACATAAGTGACCGTTGTAAAAAATTATAATTATTATAGAATGAAAAGAAAAGTGCTGTAGCGCCGCTGTCATCAACATCGATCGCACACTGCTCTCGAAACGTGACTTTAAAGTAGATTTTATGTGTAACGAATCGGCCAACGAGGCTACTGCGACCGCAGACGCCGACATGTCAGTGGAACAAAGGTTTACGGCCGCCGTTAACGTCATCAGGAGTCTGCCCAAAAATGGTAAGCGCACACAGCTCCAGGCAACCACGGATGTTTGGCTTGTAAAAATATAGGCTATTGTGGGTGTTTTAATAAGGCCTGACCCAGTTAGTTATTTTAGAGTATTCATAAACCCAATAACACCCATTTTTTTTTTTAGAAATTCTAGTAAAGTACAAATTGCGTACATACATAAAGTGTATTATTTTTATGGTTAAGGGTTTAAATATTAATTTCTTTATTGTACAAATAGTGATCTAGAATAACTAAATAAACTGCTATGAATCCAGGTCAAAAGACTTTTTATTTCTTGTAGTTTTAGTACATTTGGTTTTGAATAAAATAAATTTAATTTTTAAATACTTTCCGTAAATGATTGATAACTTCTAACGGGGTTAAGGCCTATCTATTACATGTTATTATACCATAAGCCTTTTTGTTAATGTCACTTGTCCAATGTCCATTATCAGTTTTGATCAACAGGTTTACGATCCAAAGTCCAATATTTATATATATAAATATAACTGTTTATATACATATTACACTAATGTAAAACCCAGTTAAATTTATTCAAGCACAATGTATGCATTTAAATAGAACTATTGTTCAAAGTTCAATTGCCAAGTTCAAATGAGTATAGTCATGTTTTCTTATTAGTAGGAATTTTTTTTTTTTTTAACAAGTGACTGAATCTAATTTTTTAGTTTGAAAAATAACTGCAGTGTACAATATTTATAAGATTATTAACTAAACATTTGAAATAAAACAATAGCGTGTTTTTTAGTAAACTTAAATTTTAATTTTATGTTATTATTGGTATTAACCCTTTACTGCACAATGTTTCATATTTGGAACATTTCAAAATTTGGCTTTTTTCGCAAAACTAAAAAAACAATTTTTTTTTCAAAAAAGAAATCTTGTAGTTAATGGTTGATTTTGATTCCCACCAATATGATGTAATTAGGTATTCATTCAATATGTGACCTACTAAGTGTAAAGTTATAATAAAGTATGAATATAATAGGTTTCAGTTACGTGGGAAAAACATACATTCATTTTTACAATTAAACTAGTCAAACGTTAATGAAAATTAAAAATGTATACATTAGAGGTTTCTCGATTTGATAAAAGTGAAATTAAAAATAATTACACTACCGTCACAACTGTAGTCTTGCCACTTTACGTCTATCCAACGTTTTTTTTGGTCTTTTTCATTTAATTGTTGTCTTTGTTTTTACCGTAACTATTGTTAGCATGGCATACCCAAACTATGAAGTATTCATCCCTTAACTTTTACCTAAAAGCAAAAAAAAAAAATAATAAATGGAAACAAACTGGAATCGTTAAATGTTGATCCTAACCTTATAACGGAGGCCTTGATAGTTTCTAAAAAGCCCTCCCATGGTTAACCAAGAAAAATCTTTATAGTGTTGTTACAAATCCAGACACCCACAGAGTTGTGATGCATTTTATAAAAAACCAAAACATAATGTCCATTAACAGATTTTATTGGAAATATTTTTTGTATATAACCATGCTGAAAGCTACGATTTAAATTTTTTCATCAATGTAAGAATTCAACTTCACCAACCAATTTATATTGACTAGTAAAATAACAATTAATTATAAAATAAAATTGCTATAGTCTATATTAAAATATATTACGATGTGAGAATAATAAAAGTAGTGGGGTTTGATTAGGTTATGAATGTGATGTTAGAGATAAAGCGAATAGTAAAGTGAGTCAATTCCTTTAATCAGTGGCAAAGAGTCATAGGAGAAAGCGTTTATCCACTTAGAAAAAGAAAAGGAATTTGGTATTATTTAGTATAAGTAAAAAAATATATATTTTATACTAATTTCAAGTAAATTGTTTTACTTTTTAAAAAATTCTCTAGTGTAACTTCTTACTATTTACTTTTAATACAAATAATTATATCGGTTGTATGGCATTATATTTCTTTGCCAGTTACAAATTATTGTAAATTAAAAGTACACTATTAACATGGTTAAATCAAAACTATTTTTTTTTTCTATAATGTTAAAATAAGCATTCGTTATTATTCTACTACACGACACAATTTTTAGTATACTCAAAATATTGTTTCTTATTGATTTCAAATTTGTTTAATAAAAACTGTACCTAATAAATAGATATCGGATTACAAAAATTAAGTTAGGTCATAGATATAATTTTTACAATACATTGTTGGTGTTAATAGTTGGTCAAAACGTTAGTGCATATAAAAAAGTAATTACCTTATATTTTATGTATTTTCAATGTGTCTTCAATGTGCCATGACGATAAATTAAGTTAAATGACAAATTAAGTGACATGACGATTTGATGTACATTTTTCAATTTGCATCATCAGCATATCCCCACACTCTTAAACAAACCAAATTTGATGTGCTAGCATATCTATTGTGACAAACTAAAGTGTAAAAAAAAAAAAAAAAATACAAGAAGGCAAGGAAACCCAAATAGTCAGCATTAATTAATATCATTAATACAGTAACAGTTACTTTTGAAAAATCTGAATTGATTACGTTAAAAGATTTAAAAATTATAATTCTTATTTATAACTAATTTTATAGTTTTACTAAAAAAAAATACCATGTTGTTGAGGTTCAACATTTCAATCTGTTCCATACGCCATTTGGTATTGTCTAAAATATTTTTTATTTTATGCAAAAAACTACTCAAAGGTAGTGAGATCATGTTGTCACATATATTTATGTCTATACTTTATCATTACAATAATAATGATTGATGTTTAACAGGTTCGTATCAGCCGTCAAAAGAACTGATGCTACGGTTTTACGCCTACTATAAACAGGGTACAATAGGTCCAAACAACCAGCCGAAACCAAACTTTTGGGATATTGTTAATCGAGCTAAATGGCAAGCGTGGGACAACCTACGTGACATGTCTAAAGAAAAGGCCATGCAGCTTTACGTCGACGAACTCAAAAAGGTAATTATTGATATTTTAGTCGGGTTAGTTACGATAAACAGTTTTTATTTTTGTAATGTTTTTTTTACTTAATTGTTGCCCAGGTAATGCGCTTTTTAACTATAAATTATAATTTTCTAAACAATGACTGTACAGTTTTTGAAAACAATGATATTTAGGTTTATTTTGATTAAATTGTGTTAATGTTTTTTAGATTGTTGAAACTATGGCTTACACCAATCCAGTAGCCGACTTTGTATCGAGTTTAGATTCGTTTTCCGAATCAGTTTCCCTAGATGATCTGGAAATGGCTGTTGGTCCATTAAGCAATCGAAATGGCAGCTATACGAGTAATTTATGGTTTTTATTATGTTAATTAGTTTTATCAATTATTTAGTGTAAGACTAAGACTATACTTTTGGCCATAATAACAGTATTCTCTTTATTAAATTAATTAATTATTTCAATTTTATTTTAACATTTACAAATATACAAATTTGTAATTTGTCATAACAGAACCCACAATCACGGTTAGAATATTTTAGTTTTTTATAATATCCTCATCTAGCTTCTTTTAACTAAAATTACAATTTTTAAAAATTATGAAAAAAACTTTTTTTGTACTAATTTCTTAGAAGTATATATGTATATATATATTTTTTTTTGCCTAGGAAAAACTAAGTTGTCTAACAACGTTGGACCCAATGAACAGTCACAATTAGATATGGACATTGACGAAGAATGTTTTCATGATGTTATGGAAGTAAGAAATGAAAATTGTTTTCATAATAGGTACAATAATGAGTACATAAAACCGCCTTGATACCAGCTTCAGAATTTAACGTTTTAGTCGACTGGTGATCTTAAAAAACATTTGCAAAACAACAATGATGATTTCGGACCCGTCGAGAACCAAAATTATCGGTTACCCAACGACGTAGAAAAGCCAATTCCGATCATTCAACAAAACGGAATCAAACACACCCAAAGGATTGACTCGAGTGAAAGTAAATGCTTGTTCAACTTGAATTAGAATGATAATTAATTACCTATTTCTTTTACTACCTTTTACATTTACACGACAATCCTATTCAACTACAGGTATAGTCATAAAATATTATTATTTCAGTCGATGATCTTCAACTACAAATTAAGAAAACGGTGACCTGTTTGAAAAACGATTTAGAAGTGGTAGCCAATAGAGTATTGCAACTAGAATTAAAATTAAACAAACAAGTAAGCCATTACCGGATTGTTTGCATGAGACTTAAAACTAAATTCTACAACTGATAATTATTGTTACAGGATGTTGTTAAGAAACGCAAACATCACCTATTCAATAGCCGCAATGCGTTGCAGATGTTGCTCCTACTGGGATGGCCGGTTGCTGTCCAATTACTTTTTGTTTGGTTTCAAAGGCGAAATAAACATAAAGCTTAAGCATTTTTTTTTTTTTTTTTCAGTAGGAAATTTGTTCTTAAATAGTGTTTGGCTATCTAATCTGTTAATATTGACAAGATGGGTCAACACATGACCAAAAACACATATGACTAGACTATAATCATTGTTTAAGTTAAGTTTAGATATAGTGTATCAAAGTCAACCCCCGACAGTTGTCTAGAAATTTCGGTGCTAGAAAGCTTCAGATCTATAAATAGTTAAAATATATTTTATTCAAAATGTTTTTAATGATAATTTGGTAATCGTTGAACAAATACATCCTAATAGGCTATCATGGCCATGATTGGGATTTAACCGAATTATTAAGACTTGGTAGTTTCATTATAACTATTTAATTATTGTCATCATCGTCATTATTGTTATTACCATTGTAATACTAGTATTACTTTAAGTATCAAATCTGTCGGTAATTTATGCCAAACGATGGATAAATTGAAATAAAATATAAATGATAAAAATCGAAGGTATCTAGCTCTATTGAATGTTCACACAATATGTGATAAATATTAAATGGTGGTTTTTTTTTCTAGCTTTTCAAAAATTATGTTATTGATATTTTATTCCCGTTAGAATCCCTATATTTTAGTAAAACAATTATAGGTTTTTTTATATATATATATATATATATAATATTGTTGTGCTACTGTTAATAAATTTTATTATAGAATTTTTTTTGTTTTGTTCATCAATGATATAATTTATTACTGGTTTAATATTATACATCACATTTGTTATAGTTAATTTGTATTTACTTATAGTTTAATCAAACCATATAGAGTTATTATTATTTTTTTAGTTACGCGTTAGTGATATTATTTTTATGAGCTAATCGATGGAGTGTCTTTATACTATTGATGATCTGTATTTGAATCTTATTGTTTTTTTTTTTTATTACAATTTTATATATTTATACACGTTTTAATGTTATCAAAATGGAATATAACATGAATTATTATAGTAATATTTTAACTGTAACAATGTTCTCTGTTGATTGAATGGCTTACAGTAGCTAACAAGTGCATTTTTTAATTTTTTCCCTACACACTTATACTTCCAACGTTTTACATTTTAGCATTATGAATTTTTAAGGGTTTTAATAATAACGTGTAAGAATGTTAGCTCTTAAAAATTGCCGTAATTAAGTCCACTTAGATTTTTAGGTTTGTTATTGTTTTACCTAATTTAACTATTCAATTGTTTTAGGTGTAGATTATATTCAAACAACATGCTTGTATTTATCAGAGTAAAAAAACAAATTTCAGCAGAATAAAAATATTTCATAATGATTAAGAAAATAAAACGTTTCCATAAAAGTTTTAATAAATAAAAAAAAACGTTTTTACTTAAAAATCTAGTATGCATAAATAAAATAATAATATGCTAATCATACACAATGATATCATTAAACAAATTATTGTTTTTAATTTGTTACTTTTTCTTATAACATAAGTAATTAATTACTTTTTATGATTGTTAAATAATCTCAATGCCATCAGTATAAAAATGATTAAGTAAATCCATACATTTTTAATCGTTTTCTTATGAATCGCTTTAAATGTTAATTTCATTTTTATGAATATATAAACAAAAATATTTAAATTTAAACATTTAAATACGTTGACCTTCTTTTAGTGTTATGGTTTTTTTAAATTATTTGTACACCATATGGATTGGCATTACTAAAATTACAATTAGGTTTTACTAAGAAGAAGCTGGAACGTGTTAACATAATAAATATGTAATTCAAAAATTCGTTTAAAAAAAATAAACAACGCCTTGGGTGCTCTCCAATAAGATCACCTTGATCTTAATGAAACGTCAAGTATTTATACTTATTACTTTTGAACAAACGGGTAAACAAACATTTTCCATATACCTAAATAATTGTCTTAAAGAAATATAAAAGAGTTACGCAGTAACATATTATTGTCTACTGCTATCGGTAGGTACCTAGGTATTGCTTGAATAATTTAAAACTATAATTGTTGTCCTTTCGCGATGCAATCAGAATTATTATTTAATATTTACATAATTAATATAATAGGTCAATAGGCGAATAAGAAAAACATTTTTAAGGTATGATAGTAACTACTAATAAAGTGGTATTTTTTATACATTTACAACATGTAATTTTGTATTTTTTTTTCGCTGAATCCGAATCTGGCTTCAGATTTTGACTAGAATGTCTATATAGTTATTGTTCAATCACCTCCAAAGTTGGAAAAAATGCCTTTTTAATGTTTTTTTTCGCCTGCGCTGTACGTTAGAATAATTTTCTAAAATGTATTTCAAATAGTTATTTAATCTAATTTCTTTGCTGAACTCAGAACTATTCACAGAATTTATGTAGATGTTTATAATTATTTTTTTTAACACAAATTAAAATACAAAATTATGATTTTGGTTACAATTTTGGAAGGGCTTTCAAAAATAATTAAACGATCCAAAGAAAATCAATTATTTGGTTCTTGTTCCAAAAAAAAAATTGTATTGTTGTACAGCGTGTAATCAAAGATTGTCGTAAAAAATAATTTACATGTTATGTATTTAAATAAGCGTTGTCAAATTTATGTTTGAAACGCTACACTATTTTTTTTTCAGTTCTATGACAGTGAATTGTCATTGAGTTTCCATCTTTAAGTAAAGATGCTGAATTATAAAAAAACACGTTTCAAAATGTGTATACAAAAAAATTCTTTGCCTATATCCATTAAAAAAAAGGGTTCACTTGTTTTTTATGTCAAACAATTTTAATATCTCAATAGATATCCAACCAAGTTGCTAAGTTCAATGCAACTGTTTATGAGGCATAAATAATTTACTGATAAATAATTAAATTTGTTAAGCATTTTATAATAATTTGAGTGTCTTAAAATTGTTTTTTAGAATTATTATTAAATTATTTACCATAATAATCTAATTTAAACCTCATTTTAGAAACGGTATTTGTTTGACATTAAATTTTCCCAAAGAAATAATAATGATAATAATATATTAGGTATTGCTTCCAACTGAGTAGACTCAAATAATTTACTACTTTGCATAACATCATTAGATTGTAAACACTATCTATAAATATGACCATTTTGCGTTTTTTTGCATAATGTTAATGTTTGTTAGCTATTACCACTCTTTTTTTTGTTATTCCAACACTATTTACAATAACGTTGTGTGCTTAAAACCGGATTTTCTGTCAGAGAGACATAAACAACTGTTATAATAGGACTTGTCATAACGGCATAAAATCAGCTTACAAATGTTTTTATTACCTTTACAATTATTATTAATATTATTACCACGTTCTATATTCTGTATTATTATTATTATAATGTCACTTTTGGTGTGCTCGATTGACTTTATTTGTGTCCAGTTAGCAATAAACACTTTCACCGCACACAATTTCAACTTTTCTTTGAACACCGATCGCATTAATACTAGTTAAGGACAGTTTTACTTAATTATATAATATTATACTAATATATACTATATACTTGTGCGTTTATTTAGTTTCTGTATATGCGACCCGCTGTGGCTGTTAGTCGATACAGATTTTTAATATATTTTGTTTTCATCCAAATGGTTTTTAACATTGTAATTATATATTCTACAAGACATGATAATATAATATAGCAAGGCTCAAAGATAAAACATACTTTTTTAACATAATCCCTGCTTAAGTATGAAATTAATACTTATTGTACGTTCTTTGTTGTAGTTTACTACTATTTTTTTCATTTTTTATAATAGTTTACAAATTCGTGTATCTATTATTTCTCTTAAATATAAAACCAAAACAAATATAAAACTCAATTATTCGCCTTGCGAGAAAAGTCTGGCTTAATTAAACAGTAACGGTTTTTTCTAATCATATAGAAATTGTGTTAATTATGAAAGTTAACTAGTCAAATTGAAAAATGATTTGTTATTAATACTTTGTGTACATTCGAGTTTTGACACTGTAAAACACAAATTCCAAAACGATTGTGGAACAAAAAAGTTCTAATACAGCAATTAGAATAAAAGAACAGTTTATTAAAAGTTTTTGGAAATATTTTCCTAACTCGACAAAAACAAATAATGTATCTTTCCTAGTCAAAATGTTGTATCATTAATGAAGTTCACAAAAAATTAACATGGTTTTGTTTTTACATTTTTTTTTCATAACTTTTATTTTATTAACTAATATTTTAAAAATTGTTTATAACTAAACTTACTTCTGTACAGAAGCTTTTATAGAGACCTATTAAAAAGAGAAAAGTTTTACCAAAATTGATTTTAAAAATTATAACTCTTAAATTCGATCCCAGGTAAAAAAAAAATATAAGTGAAAGACATCAAGTAATCATTTGTCTGACTTAATATCCGAGTTTGTCTAAATATTTATATAGACTACCTATGTTATTGATACTAACATAGCGCATGCTATAACAATCATACCCATAACTTCCCTTCCATAAGTGAGATATTCAACGTTTGGTATCATTAGTACGAAAAAGTTTGCACTTTGAGAAATACTAAAAATGTTTATCCACTTTCCCTGATCAATTCTCCTATATAATTAAAATATATATATATATTTAAAAAAATTATTATTGACATTTTATCTTGTACACAAATAATGCAGATAAAAAGCCATTTAATAACACAGCAGCTACTGTTGTTGAAATAGAGGCACGCCCACGCACTCTTTGACCTCAGTACATAATACAAATCCTTTGATTAAATTATCCATTTGCCAAAAGTGACAGTGTTGGTTTAATGAAAACAAATTTATACAGGTATTATATGTATTTATTTTGGTTCTTTAGTCTCAGCCCACATGCACTTGACATGAACAATTATACATATACAATTGCATATACTGTTACTATAATGTGAATAAATATTGACTTATTGTAAGTGTACCTTGACAGAACCCAGAAACGACATTGTAGGCGTTTGTCATTCAAGTTTTTTTTATGATATTTTTTTTGCACGTGGGAAATCTAAAATGAAATAGCGAATTTCTTCGTTTGTGTGGGGTAGGAGTTCAATTATACTTATCTATCTATTGTGTGCACGGGTAATGCGAATATAATATTATTATTATGTCCAACTGGGGCAAATCCTCCACCTTGCACATGTCCAGTGTATACCATTGCATTGTGTGATAAATACATAGAAATTTACAAACAAAAAATATACTATGTATTCCCATATACATGCATAAATTGGCCTATTATCTTGATCTGCGACGCCGACGCATCATCGCCAGAGCGTTGCAAAATTCAAAAGTAGGTAACCTCATGTATTTGTGTTGTCATACTTGTTACTATTACCTTTTTGTTTCATAATTAGATTCATTACTCAGTGTTGGGAAAGTTCCCTTTTACAAAGGAAATTGTTTCAGATACTCGTTCTTTGTACAATAAAGTAACTACTTCCAGATAGATACGTTGGATCCTTAAAACAAACCCCAGAAATAAAAATGAAACGACTTCTTGTACAAGTATAGATTTTCATAATAATTATTATACTTATCTAACAATTATGTTGTTATGATTTTTTTGTTTACACAATTGAAATTTTTGGATGATTTTAAATTCTTTTTTCAACCAATGACTAATAGGACATTCGCGTTTATTTCAAATATTGACAAAAACAAATTCAAAACTTCAATTTCAAATTGCAATTTAATAGTTTTAAAATAAAAGTTTTATAATTTTTGTTTTCATGTATATTGTACAAAATAGTTAATGGACCATACATGAAGTTCTTATTTGCAACTTTAATTTTTGTTTGAGAACATATTTTATGCTAACTTTAAAAAAAATATATATAATTGGAACTTTTGTATCAAAGTTGTT